GGTCCGACGCATCCAACCGGTAGGCATTTCCGGAGATGCTTACTCGGTCTGTAGCGGAGGTGGGTGTGTGGAACGACAGCAATGTCGAGGGAAGTTGTATGGCGGTAATCCCCCGAGGAGGGCCGTGTGGCGGCGGCCGAAGCCGGTCGGGGTGCCTAAACCCACTGGCTAACAGCAATCATTGTGTCTTGTACCTTGTATGTCTGTACTTTGTGTACTCTGTACTTTGAGCATCGCATAAGCCTCTTGAATGCTTGTGTGTCTCATCCTTTATCTGTTTAACCTACTGAAGGCATGTGTGAACCCGCTTGGAATCTGCTGAGTGAGTGTAAGCACGATTGGAATGGAGTGAACAGTATGTGACGATTTCGTTGATACGTCTTATAATGATGGGAGGCGTTGGCCTTTGAAGTTACTACTGAAGACTTCGGAGACGCGAGAACCTTTGTTGTTGTGTGTCTACACCAGACTACACGGTCGCTAAGAATTTGCACTGGCGTAGGTACACCTACAACGTTTGCTTGGCGGATTAGCTATTTGGTGGAAGCTCTGCAGAGTACTGTCCTCAGCGTGGTAGATTGCTGGCTCCAGATGTCGAGATCGGACAACCGAGACTTCGGCCGAGAAGACAGGCGTATCAACAATGACGATCGAGGACGGTACGGAGGTCATGACCATGGACGCGATCGAACTGGAGATACACGACGATATCGGCCAAACGAAGTTGGTGATTCGGGGCATCAAGATCGGGAGAGGGATCCGCCGCGGCGTTTGGTCCCTGTCTGTTACGAATGCGGCGAACCAGGGCACTACCGCAACCAGTGCCCACGCATTGTGGGTGAAGGCATCTCCAGATTGGGCACGCAGCGGGGCCGATCCTTGTCACCTAGACCGTTTGGACGACATATGGAGGCAGCGGGCAGCCTCAGAGGACCCGGCTCTACGCAGCCAGGTTAACGAACTTGCCAGCTCGATCGCTATGATGAAAAGGATTTTCGAAGCCGAGAAAGCCAAGAAAGCGGAGAAAGCAAAGCGTAAGCAGGAGAAATTGGAACTTAAGAAGCGTGAAAAGGAGGAACGACAAGCTGCGGAGGAAGCCAGACAAGCCGCTACCCGTAAGGCGATGAAGGAAGAAGAGAAACTACGCAAGGACGCCGAAGACCGAGAACGGATGAGGAAGGAGATGCGTATGAAAATCTCAATGCATATAGGAAACTTGAAGGATGAATTGCATGGAGTCTTTGAGCGTCATTCCAAGGAGAGCGCGAAGGGGAAAAAGATAAAGAAAATTGAAGCTGGCTCGTCGTCGGAAGAAGACCATGAATCATATGGAAGCGATGTGGATTCCCTCAGCAACAAGATAGAACGCCTCGCTATTACTGAGAAACGCAAATGGTGTGCCGATAAGCCAGTGGGGGATAGTCCCCCTATGGAAACTCCAGCCAAGAGAACAGCGAAGAGGCGTCTGCAACTGGGGTGTCGACATCCCTCCATGAAGAGGACTTCTCCGCTCAAGACTCCGACACGACGCACTGCGAGCAAGAAGATACCAGCCGCGAAGGGATATATAGGCAAACTAAAGTTCGTTACGGAGAACTTACGCGAACTCGGCGACCTCAACGTCGACGAGCTCGAACGCATCTGCGTACTGGAAGATGTCGCGTACGAAGGGAAGAAAATGCAGGCTATTTTAGCAATTACCAAGAAGCATACCGGGAAAGAGCCTATGGATCTAACGGCGAGGAGGAGCAAGATGAACACGCTGTAGAGGCGGATGAGGGCACCGGCCTAGAGGAAGATGCGGACGAGGGACATGGAGGCGCGGAGGTTTGAACAATACCAAGATTATAAACTCTGTGCCATTGCTTGATTGAGTTCCGGAAGAAGAATATATTGGATGAGACGGCCGAGCTACTATATCGCCTAGTTGTTATCACCCTTGCCCTGTCTAATCAGATCAGGTGGTTGAACAAGTGTGTGGAATCCTGGGTGGCTTTGTATAGGCGTCATGGTATTCGCTGCTTTACGGACGTCGGTAGCTGCGTGTATGTCATTACCTCTCTGATATGTCGTCTTCAATACGTCGGTCAGACTAGCAGGTTTGGTAGGGTACGTTGGAGGGAGCACGTCTCTGTAAGTAATCGAGGCCAAAAGTGTAATCACCTGTATAGGTGGTGGAGATCGTTCGGACATGAATCTTACGTATTGACACATGTGGCGGTCTGTCCACGAAAATATTTGCCATTGATTGAAAACATCTTTATACGGAGATGGTGTCTGTTTTTGAATACTGCGGGTAAAGGGTTGTCGAGGAAAGGTAACCGACGTAGACGGAAGGGGAAACATGAACGGAGAGGTGTCGGGGTGCGCGTAGACCCGGCAGACCAACCCAAGGCCTTTATCCCTATTAAAGCGAGAGTGGGGGACGATGAAGAATGGAGTGCGGATGTTTTTCGGATTTTAGCTGACCTCGAGTCCAAAGGTAGTGGTAAGTTTGTTTTGTACACCAGCGAAGGGAACTGTTGGTGCGGTGGATGGAAGTCAATCAAGTCCACCTTCAGGAGATCTGACGTAAAACAGAACGATAGATGTCGAAAGTTGTACGAATGTAAGAAGGAGTTAGAGCTGGGCATTCAGATCGAAGTGCTGCGCATTCTGCGTTGGAGGCCTAAGATTAACCGGGATCGGACTTTCTTGGTATCCATCCTTCGCAACCCCCGACGAGCGGACGCACTTCGTAGTTGTAGCCTT